ATCAATTATCTCGCGAATTTATTTTTTCGAAAATTTTTCCAAAATATTTTTGAGTGTAGCTCAGCATCCGCTGGACCAAACAAAAAGTGCGCCATACATTTTTTGTTCGAAACTTTTTCCCTATTTTATTGGTGGTATTCTGGAGCGATTATCTCGCAAATGTAATTTTTCTAAAATTTTACCGAATTTGTTTTCTCGTTTAGATCAGCATCCGCTGGACCAATCAAAATGTGCGCCATACATTTTTTGTTCAGAACTTTCTTCTAATCACTATGGCGGTGTTCCCGAACGATTATCTAGCGAATTTAATTTTTTGAAAATTTTCCCAAATTATTTTTCAGTGCAGCTCAGCATCCGCTGGACCAATCAAAAAGTGCGCCATAAATTTTTTGTTCGAGACTCCCGGGTTAAGACTTTGGCGGTATTCCCGATCAATTATCTGGCAAAATTATTTTTTCGAAATTTTTTAAAAAATTTATCTGAGTATGGCTCAGCATCCGCTGGACCAATCAAAAAGTGCGCCATACATTTTTTGTTCGAGACTCCCGGGTTAAGACTTTGGCGGTATTTCCCGATCAATTATCTCGCAAATTTATTTTTTCGAAATTTTTTAATAAATTTATCTGAGTGTGGCTCAGCATCCGCTGGACCAATCAATAAGTGCGCCATACATTTTTTGTTCGAGACTTTTTGCTCAATTTTTTGGAATTACTCGCAAGACATTATCTCGTAAATTTAATTTTCAGAAAATTTTTCCAAAAATTTTTGAGTGTAGCTCAGCATCCGCTGGACCAATCAAAAAGTGCGCCGTACATTTTTTGTTCGAGACTCCCGGGTTAAGACTTTGATGGTATTCCAGAGCGATTATTTCGAAGTTTTAGAAATTCCCAAAATTTATTTTGACCTAGTTCAGCTTCCGCTGAATTAATCAAAAAGTGCGTCATATATTTTATGTTTGAGATTTCTAGGTTAATACTTTGGTGGTATTCCGAACAATTTTCTCTCAATCTTAAAAAATCTGAAATTTTTTTAATAAAGTTTATTTTTGAGTCTAGCTTAAAATTTGTTGGTCCAATCAATATGTATACCTAGTTTATATAAAACTTTTTGAAACAGCAATTTCCCTTTTTTGTTGTTAAAATTTTAGAGGTATTCCTTCTTTTGTTTTGCATTATAATTTGGAGTTAATTTGCAGATTACATTGTTATTAAGTAAAATGAATAGAGTTAGCGAGCAGTGAGGGTTGGCATATGTAATTATTCTAATGCAGCACGTTGACCTTTATATAGAAATGCTATGTGTACATTTACGCGATATCTAAAACCCCTTTTAGTTATATTTCCGCCAATTTTACAACTGTACAAAAGGGGTGCCAAAATGAGTCACATACCAAAAGAAATGAGTCATGTTAATTTTTTTTCCTGTTACCAGTAACAGTGACGCTCCTTAATATTTTACAAAAAATTTATTTAATTTATTTAATAATTTAAAAAATGGTTATTTAATAATTGTGAATTCTTGTTATTATAAACAATTTCAGAAAGTAAAATAAAAACAGAAGATTCGTGAGCAGAAAAAAGATTGTAATGCTTAGGATTTGGGTTAATTGATACAGGCAGTTGGCACAAGATACATCTGAAAGTTTAAGATGAATTCTCTTGGCAAAATTTAGTAGTTTTTTGTACTTATAAAAAATTTGAATATTTGCCCATTTGTTCTTTATAGTTTTCAAAGTTTTTACATTAAGAGGAGATTTTAACATCTTTTCTGAATCCGTATACTTTTAAATGGGAAAAAAAGTTATAAAATTAATTTCAGTTGGACTAAATTATTTATGTGAGGCAGGAACATTAAGCGGTTGCATAGTTGGAATTATATATTTTTTAATTAATTAAAACTATAATAATAAAAATAATAATAATAATTTTTAATGCATAATTTGGTGATATAAATTTTTTCGGCTCATTTAGCATATAATCGTGCATAATTTTGGCGTATAATGGACGCATAATTTATTTACTTAACAGAATAATCGGCGCATAATTAGTGTTTTTATGTTCTTTTGAATATTCAATGTAACTTTATCAGAATCAATACCATTTTTAAATATAATGGTGGAAATAGAAATTTGTCAATCCTTATGGTTTATATTTAAAGAGTTATGTCGGTTTAAAGAAGCAAAACGAATGTGTGACATTATTTATGTATAGCCCTGAGGATAGTTGGAAGATAAAACACGTACACACACATACAAGTTGGATCGTCAACAGGTAGAAAGTGTCGTTTTACGGAAACAGTATTGTACTTTAGAATGAAGATTCTTGCAAAAGTGGAGGGGTTGAAAAAGGGGGTTGAGTGTGAGTCAGGTGAAACGAATGGTTTGGTCGAGGAGACAAGACGGTTTTGGTAAAAGGGAAGCACAAGAAAGGACGACGTATAATTCCATTGGGTTTAACGGGTTCAAATTTTCAAGCCAGTAAATTCCAATATTGTCCAATGTCCTTAAATTGTTCGTAGATCATGTGGTGAAAACTGGCGGATAATTTATAAAAGCGGAATTCAGTTCATCGATATCTTTTTCAAACACTTTTGATAACCATTTATTCAGTATAAATTCTTTTATTAAAATTTTTCTTAACTTTTTTTTTTTTTTTATAAAAGGTTGTCTGTATTTTTGTTTGTATAAATGAAATACCGGAACTTGTGCACCTTGAATGCCATCCCGACGGCATAATGAAAACGTTAAGGGAATATAAAAGTTTCGCTAATCTTTTATGCACTGCCATGAATGCTAATTTACCGAGCGGACACACGAAAGCAAAAATATACTTCGCGAGAGTCGCACTCGGAATTAGCGTTTGAAAATGAGCAGCATTTGCGGTGAACTCAGTTTCACTCAGGATTCTTGTATGTTCTCTTTTCGTTTTGTTTGTTTTTTTCTCTTTTTTTTTTTTTGCTTTTCTTTACAACTAAAATAACACGTCAAATAAATCGTATTTCAATTATTAAATATGTAAAAGAGATTAGACAGTTTCCACTTTATTAAATTGGATTAAAATAAATGACAATTAATTTTGGACAATATAATTATTGTTTTCTTGGTATTTATTTATATGCATATTATTTTAAATAAATAATGAGTATTAAAATTCAATACTAAATTGAATTTATTATAAATACTTCTATTATATATTGATATTCAATATTGTATTATTTCTATTTTGTTATTCTCTATTGCAATCAAAGTGAGGCCGGGATTAATTAGAATTATTGGAAATGATGTTTTGCCTCTTAATAGAAAATGTAAATTATGTATCGATTTAGTCCGAAATTACGCTATACCACGTAATTTATTAAAGGTAGCTTCCTATCATCTTAAAGCTCCCCCGAAACATGCAGATCCTGCTAGTTTATATTTAATATTCTGCAATTCATGTTGTATTGCGGCAACAATAGAAGATCAATAAATTATAAAAGAGAAGATCGAATTATAGCTTAAAATTGGAGGAATACTATTTTGAGTTTCCAATCTCGTTTACAATTGTAAATTATTTATTATAGTTGTTTGTTTGATAAAATTTAAAATTAAACCTGTATATCATATCGCAAATTGTATGGTTTGTTTTTTCAAAATATATTTTTTGTCGATAGTAATAATTTTAACACAGTAGATGTAGAAAATTTTTTTTTTGGAATATATATATTTATCTCAAATCAATGTTAATCGATCTTTTTGATTTGAACATCTTTTTCTCGTCCCTGCTAGAAGCTATATACGATCGGTATTATCAAAGTGAAAGAGATAGATCTTTGTAGCATGTAGTCTGGTCTGAATGTATCTCGAGTCATCTAGATCACCGGTGAGACAAAGCTCATAAATTCTCGTGCAGGAAAAACGATAGTCGTTTTTAGTCCTTGAATGAGTTGAGGCTATATCCAGTTCGATACTGAAATTATTCTTTATAAAAATCTGCAATTTTTTGAATTTATACAAGACATTTTCTTTTCTTCAAAATATATAACCTTTAAATATATTTATTGACTGATTATAACAATATTCAATCGATAAATCAGATTACTACATTATCGGACGAATTTTTATAAGATTCCTACCTTGCCGACAGTTGGTAAGTTACCGACCTAATTTAGCCCAAAAGTGTAAAAAAAGGAAGAAAAATATATTCTAATTATAAATTAAAAAACAAAGAAACCTGACTTATATATTGAGTTCTGAATGAGAAAAAGGGATTGGAGTTGGTAGAATAGGAAAAAGGACTGTGAATGCATCCTATTAAGATATCACATGTACCAAGGCAATTTCTCAATGCGAATTAAAACTTCTTATCTATTTGAAAGTTACATCGTGCATTATATTCAGAAATCTTTGCTCATGTAAATGTGGAAGCCATTCAAGAATAATTATCGCAAATATACGAAACATAAGACGCGCAAGTACACACACACACACACAAAGTTGAAAAGAGTCTAAAGAGGTACGTAACAAGTATAAAGTAAAGTATGAAACTGTTAACAGAATTTTGATGGTGTGAGGGTTTTTGCTAGTTTGAAATGGGGGTAGGGTGTGTGTTGGGTATTCCATATATAGAACACAGGCAGTGATCGAGCGGTCGGGACTTAATGAAACTCTTAAGTGCCGACTATTAATATGGCTTCCGACTCGAAGTGGTGAGGGTATATAGCAACGAGAGTTTTCGCGACGGTCGACGGTAACTGAGAGTAAGAGAGGGAGGTAAAATGGAACCAGGACGAGTGAAAATGGAGGGGGAAAGGGGTTCACGATGGAATGTCCCGTTATTTGGCCGACAAGTATTATACATTATTTCGGCAATTATAGAGTTAATATTCACTATTGTAAATCAAACTCTAAATCTCATTGAATGCCTCTAAAGTTAGCTATAGTTTCTAAACTAATTTGCATTTAAAGGCAATCTTTATTTCTTTACATAATAAAAACCTGATACCAAATTTTTTTTTTCTAGATACAAATACAGAAGAAATCAAGAAGAAAATGATCACTGTTTTTTCAAAGTAACCAGTAGTCGGTAAGTCATTTTTGGTGATACATTTAATTAATTTTATCAAATTGTCATACATCGAGAAAATATAGTACAACCTATACTTTTGATAATTCATTTATTAAAAAAAAGAAAATCATTTTCGAAAAGCGGCGACACTAATCATTATTTATATGAAAGGTTGCGAAAATTGAAAAGAATTTTTCAACAAAGAATTTCGCCATTTTTCCAGTGGTTTGTAAATCTACCATTCATCAAGATGAACTATAAATAAAAGTATGCTTGCGCGGCAAATTCAATTTCGGCTTTTTATCCCTATAAAAGCGAGAGGCGGAAACTTGGAAAAAAAAGAGAATGGCAAGCACTTTCGCAGGTTGCCCGTAACAACTCGGGAGTGGATTGTAAACTATTCATAAACGTCCGAGAATACTCGTCGCGATAAAGAAATTTCAGTAAATTTTTAGCGAGCTTTACGTGTATATATATATATATATATATAAAAGTAAGAGAATAAGCGATCGTCGTGTGTTCATCAAGCGTCCATGTGGCTTGTATATGCGTCCGGTTTTTTTTTTTTTTTTCAAAACCTCCGTTGAAAAGAAAACACGCATCACTTACAAATTAAATATGATGGAACATAGTTCTAAATATGCGCATAAAAATGCTATTAAAAGATATAAATTTTTTTATATGTTTAGTAGCTGCGTCTTTTGGTTTACAGACCGTGAAGAGACATTTTGTCTCATCGTTACAGATTCATATTTAACCATTTCATGTAGCATTTTAAAAAAAAAATTTTGCCTGGGATATTTATTTTTTATTTTGAAATCTTTATGAAAAATAAGAAAATATTTTTTTATTTGATAAAAATTATGGTAGTTATGAGTTTTTAAATTTAATGCAGCACATAAGTTTGCGGCAAGATTTTAGAAAGATTACTATTCAAGTTTGTGGTGTTTTAACATTGCAATAATCATATTCAGCAGTTACAAAAATGTACTGCGCAGCTTTAAATGACATAGAAATAAACTGCGCATCGTTTTAAATTACGCAAACTTGCACGGCTAACTTGTAATTTACCATGATTTTTATCAAAACAAAAAATACGTATTTATTTATTTTTTTATAAAAATTAAAAAAAATGTCACAGGCAAAAAAAAATACTTTTTTTTTTAATGAAAATTTCACATGGAATGCCCCCTGTATACATATATAGAAGAGTGAATTTATAGATGATAGCAGTAGGAGAATGTTATATATTCGTGTTGTATGTACTGTGACAGGGATAAAATTCACGGCTCGATGTACATTCCTATTACACATATCCCAATAGGCAAATCCACATTTCAACATTAAAAGAGAAGTCTTTAGTTAATTTAAGACTTTTTTATTCATGAAAATAAAACTGTTACATATGATGTTTCCTCTGCTAAAATGTTCCGCCTCGGTGTTCCTCGGTTTTTCAAGAACTAATTTCAACATCCGTGTGCGCATTGAATTTATTCTCCAAATAATCTACGAACGTTAAATTCAAATAAAAGTGACCTTTCGCTTCAAAGTTGTTTGCCGTGGTTCTTCTTCTTCTCTCTCCCTCTCTCTCTCTCTCACTCTCTCGTTTATTTTAGGACGTTATTAACATTTGACGTTGCCAGAAATTCTATTCTGTGAAACATTATTTAAATAGTTTTTTTTTTTTTTTTAATAATTTAAGTTGCTTAATTATATAAAATTTTTAACCCATTAAAATCCATGAAGAGGGAAAAAATATTTGAGGAGAAATGACTGGTATGAGCAGATTTTTATGCTGGTTTTGTCATTTAATTGCCAAATCACCGAATTGCCAACCGAAACTGTCAATTAACCAAATAGTAAAATAATGAAATTGAAATTTAACCGAACTCTCATTTAACCGAATTGACACCTAATCGGAATTTCAGTTCACCGAATTGTCAACTAACCGAACTGTCATTTAACCGAATTGACAACTAATTGGAATTTTAGTTCACCGAATTATTAACTAACCGAACTGTCATTTAACCGAATTGACAACTAATCGGAATTTCAGTTCACCGAATTATCAACTAACCGAACTGTCATTTAACCGAATTGACAACTAATCAATTTTCCAATTAACTTAATCGTCAATTCGATTAAATAGCAGTTCGGTTAATTGGCAATTCGGCAAAATGGCTGTTCGGTATAGTATCAATATTATTTAAATTTTTGGTTAATTGACAGGCAATTCGGTTAAATGGCAATACTGTTAATTATAGTACTTGTTGACAGTTCGGTTAGGTGTTAATTCGGTTAAGTGGTTATTTAGTTAGTTGTCAATTCGGCAAAATGGCTTTTTGGTTGAGTGGCAATCTTCTTACTTTACACTTTGGTTAACTGTTAATTCGGTTAGTTGATAATTTCAGTAAATGTCTATTACATTGAATAGCAATTCGGTCAAGTGGCTATTTAGTTAAATGATAATTCGATCAAATGGCTTGCCTATTTAATTAATTGTTAATTCTGTAAAATTTTAATTCGGTCAAGTGTCAATTTTGTCAAATGAAAATTCAATTAAATAACAATGAGGTTAAATAGATTTTTTTCTATCCTTAGATTAAGTCAAAGTTTTTTTTTTTCCAATATTGTTTTAAATTTCACACTCGAGTGAGATTGGAATAATTTGATTTTAATTGATAGGAATTTCTAGTGGTATTTCCTCGAGGCGATCTTGAGTGATTGATTTTTTTTTTTTTTCGTCTATTCTGTACTTTCGCAGTGACTTATCATGGTGACTATCCATTCAGTTGGGATTCACATAAGTGTGCGGACACCCTTACGACGATCTTCTTCAATTTGTCTTGGAATGAAAAATTGATCGCTTGTACGTTTGCTGCCATCAAAGTAGATCCATTTGGGAATGGCGAAATTGATCAGGGACAAGTTGCAATGGCAAAAGTTACTGATTTCAAGTTTAACAAAAATCTATTTTTCCTTTCAATTTATATTCTCGACAAGTTTTATTGAAATTTTTTTTAACTTATGCCATGAGTTCTATTTTAATTATCAGTAAATAGTAATTATAATGTCGGTAGAGAATTTTGTTTTTACCTTTTTTTTAATTGATTTTTTATTTATTTATTTTTTTTAGATAAAAAGTTGGTTTTATTAATTTACTTATTATGTTAATAATAAGATTTAAAAAAAAATTAGTAAATTAGTGATGGTAACATGAACGCTTTGTTGACATGTTTTTCAACTAAATTTTATTTTTTAACTCTTGAAAAAAAAGTGGTATAGCTATATGAATTTAATTTCCGCTTGAAGCTTTTACAGATTTATAAATTGTAATCTGCAACGTGAAATAAAATTGAAAAAAAGAAATTTTAAAGAGAAAATTTCATTTTATAAAAATTAAAGAGAAAAATTTTCTTCTTTCGTATTTTTAGAGTTTAATTTTTAAGTGTAATGTGTGATGTTATTTTATGACAGTAGTTAAACGAACGATTTTTTTCCAGAGAATTGTAAATTCTTCTTCTTCTTATTTGATTTTGTTAAATTTTTTATTTTATTTGATTTTATTTCTTCTTTTATAATTTTAATCTATTTTATGTTTTATTTTATTCCATTTTATTTCACTTTGTTTATTTACTTTTATTTTATTTATTTTTATTACATTTTTTAATATTACTGAATTTTTTTTTTATAAACGAATAATTGCTGGTTTCTATTACGGTGTCTCGAATCTCTGTAGAAATTCTTTGAAGCTCACTTCAAGTCAATACTTTGGCAATTTACCATCGTTTCGGACACAGACGTTTAACTTTCTGCTCACTTTTTTCCCCTATTTTACACTATCCATTGGTACGTAAAAACCGAGTGCGAAAAAAAATGTTCGTTTCCGTAAAAAATGCTGTATCGTAAAACATTTTTTTGTTCAGATATAGAGTAGCGCTAGTTTCATATACGATTCAACTCGTAGTTGAAATAAAATTCTTATCGTTACTTGATAACGGATAATTAGTATATTCAAATGAAAAAAAAAATAAAATGTAATTTACATATCTGTGACAAAATAAATAAAATTATAAATAAAATTTAATAGTTTAGAAAATATAATTTAAAGAAAAAATATAAAAAATAATTATTGAATAAAAAAAAAGAACGGAAACAACAAAATCTATAATTAAAATAAAAACAAGTCATTTGATGTGAAAAAACATTTTTTTTTTTTTTGTTGAATGTTTTTTGTTTTTCGGTTCTTTGTGAAGTTGAGTAACAATGGTGCGCCTGTTTCCGGGAGTTTTGACATTTCGATATCGCGCATCAAATTTAAATAATGAAAAGAACATAATGGATGGGAGATGAAATTCTAATTTTTAGTTTCTACAAGCTTTTTTTTTGTATTTTCTTTAATATATAAATAATAGCTTATATATATATATATATCATAGTAGAGCAAATTTTATTGTAATATTCTGATCTACTCAACGGGCCACTTCATTTTCTCGAGTCAAAAATATTCATCTGATACGTTTAATGAGACTTAAGTTTTAATGGGCTACATAAGCTAATTATGAGATTTTACTTGAAGCTGCTGATGAACGAACGCCAGTCTTGAAAGGAGAATGACGACTTCAGCAAACTGAAGTAGAAGTAAAATCTTGAAAGTGTGTATATACATGTAGATATTTCAGCTGAAAAGTTTCTTCTACTCGTCTTTTATCATTTTTGTTATTTTCGCTTATTTCTCTTAAAATTTTGTTTTTGTAATTTTATATTTTATTTAAAATCTAAATTTGCAAAAGAAAGAATTATTATAAATTCGCTAAAAAATTATTACTCGAGGGTCTTTGGGGGACAAAATAAAAAATGTCCGACATATTGAATCCGCCATTTTGAATTTTTAAAAACTGACATCAGTGCCATTTTGAATTTTAAAAAATTCGTTTATTAATTCTCGTTTTTATTTTTCTAATTTTCTATTAGAAAAATGTCTAAATGTGAAATTATCGAAAATTGAATTTCAAAAG